ATCTATCCTCAAAAGTCAAGCTTGATTTAGTTTTTCTGTTTTTTTTTTTTTTTTCTTAAATAATTTTTAAAATTTTGATTTATTTATTTGTTTTCTAAATAGTGGGAATAGGTAGAAATTATTTTTTCTTGTCGCGAATAATCAGAGAAGGACAGTGCGTGCAGGAGGAGGGAAGGAAACATGGGGCAATAAGGTGGGCTGGTGGGGGCCAAGCTTAATTGTTTTCGGGCTTCTCCAGCTCAAAAGTCCAAATCCAGGCTCTTATACCACGTGCGGCCTTAGGTCCACGGTCCACCACTCTTTTAGTATTTAAGACGTTACACACGTCCGTTACAATCATTTTTCTTAGACACGTGTTATATATATATATTATCTTGATTGTAATAATGAGGGGTAATTATTTTTTATTTTTTATTTCATTTCACTCGTATGTTATATAATTCGAATTCAAAATCTTTTACTTTCAACGAAAAAAATAATTATTAAATTATTTATGTTATTGATTATAAAAAAAAAATTTACCTCAAGAGTGTTTTTGATCAATTTGTATATGTTTCAAAATTAATTTTTATTTAATTAAATTAAATATAAATTATTTATGTTAAAATTGTAGAATTTATGAAAAGTTATTTTATTATTGATCTCTTTAAAGAATTGAATATAAATCAATAAAATGAAATGTAAATTTCTTTTAGCAACTTAGGCACAATTCTTAGGATGGTACAATTTTTTTAGTGTAACAGTTTGGTAATATATTGAAGAGCTATTTTTCAATTAGGACTATATACATGAGATCAAGCTAACGAACTATGTGGTGTAACTTAAATTGAATAATATTTTTTTGTATATTAAAATAATTGGTAAGTATTAAATTAATTTGTCTCTCAATCCAATGAAGAAAAAGTAATTTGCACATAAATTAATTACATTTTTCATAATCTCTCTTATTTTGGTACAAATTCTTCATAATCTCGGTAAAGAATAGGTGTTTCGCAATTTTTTGATGCAATTTTTTCCATTTCCTTTCTTAAGAGAGGTCTAAAATTGTGATACTCAAATTGAGAAAATAAATGGTCTAATCCAAATCCAATCTAGTTGGGAGGGAAAAGGTGGTGGCTTCTCGCTTCTGTCTGTGGTCCTCACATTTTACATGACAAACTGAGTTGGGTTTAGAGAGAATTCAGAAAATGCCTTTATTTCAACTCATTGTTGTACCATCCATGAGCCGTACTTCGATGTTTTCCTAACCTCTGTTTTCGTGTATTTGGGACCGTAAAAGCTCTTCTTTTCCAACCGTGGTTATGGCAACATGGCCTTTTAGGATCATACAAATTATTAAATTTTTTATTTTAGTTTGATTAATAAAAATAAATAATAAATAATATTTATTATTTAATAAGTAAAAAATTAATTTATAAATAAATATTTTTAAATATTATAATTAATTATTTAATAAAAATTATAAACTAATAAAAAAATAGTTAAATAGTGTTATCATAACAAATGGCGAATGGCGATAGCAACAGTATTTCCTCCAATGGGCAAAGAAAAAAGAAAGAGTTTAAAAAAAAAAACAAAGAAAAGATGATGGTACATAATTCATATTATATTACATACAATAAATATAAAGAATAATATACCTATAATATCATATAAAACTATATATTCATGATGATTAAACAAACTAATGAACACTTTATGTGAAATTAAGGGT